GCAAAGGGGCCACGGCTCTAGACCAGGGTGCAGAAGGACCATGGCTTTGTATAGGGGTGCAGAGGGGCCATGGCTGTGGCAGGGCGGGTGCAGAGGGGCCCCAGCCCCACACCCACCTGGATGGCTCCTCCAGCAGCAGCAGCCCAGCTCTTCGCCAGGGATCCCTGAAGTCCCGGCTGAAGGAGTCAGGTAATATCTTGGCCACCTCTGGCAGAAGAGCAGCCGGGGGGGGACACACAGACGGTTAAAGACGCCCCGGGACAGGCAGGGGGGACGGCAGCACCAGGAGACGGTCACGCACAAGGGAGGTGGGCATCCCCGCGGGACCCACGTTACCTTTGGCCATCCCGCAGGTCGGGTGCTCCCCCAGGCAGCCGCGGCGCTGCTTGAGGTCGGGACAGGGCTCCCCTCCGTGCCGGGAGCTGCACCCGCTCCATGGCCCCCAGGGCCCCACCGCGCAGCCCACTGCTGCCGGCAGGCCAGGGGAGCAGGCAGGATGGATGAGGGAAAAGAGAGCTTCAATAGCATGAAAAATGGAAGGAGAGAAGGGGAGATGCAGCACGGGGAGAGGGGAGGCAGGAGAAGGGGCAGGGGGCCCCCGGCGGCCCCTCTCCCCCAACCCCCGGGCAGAGGCTGCCCTGCCAGCCGCCGGCGCGGTGGCATTGTGCACCGCTTCCGCAGGCCTTTATCCCCGCGCCGCTGCCGCGGCTCTGCATCGCGCTGAGCTGGGACCCCGCTAATATCCCGGAGATTAGGGAGGGCTGAATGCTGCAATTGTCCAGGGGGCCGCAGCCGGCGCCTGTCCGGGTTTGGGTCCCCAGGGTGGGCTGGCTCTGCACCCCCCAAGCCCACACTGTTTGTCACCCCCAGCGCAGCCACTGGCCCCAGTTCCCGTGCCCCCGTGCAAGGCACCGCCCGCAGCAGTGGCAGGGCTTGATGCCGGGGTTCATCCCACCCAGGTCCCACACTGACGGCTCTGAGGCTTGCAAGGACAGCGCTACCGTCATCCTGTAATTCTCAGCTGCAGACCAGAGGCCACCCCTGCGGGCTCTCTTACTGCACAGGGAGCAGCCAGACATTCAGCGTGGAAAAAAGCAGAAAATTGGGATATTGCTCCAAATCCAGCCCAGCTGGCATCCCCAGACACCTCCTGTTACCACTCAAAGTATGGGGCTAACAGATAATAGCAAACCCCTGCCACCACAAGCAGCAGCCCAGGCTGGCATCCCCA